AAAAACAGAATTCGGACTAGAGCAGTTGCGTTACACAGCCAGTAGATCCATAACGGAGCTGGCAATTGCGTGACGGAACTGTTCATGTCCAAAATTTCATTTCTTTTACCCAGAAGAGCTGTGTCACGCAGCTATCGGCTGCGTGACGCAACTGTTCTTCAAAGAACAGCTGCGTGACGCGACTGTTCTAGGGTCCAGAAACATTTTTATTCTTTTGAAAAAATAATAAATTTTGTACAAAAATAAAATTTAATTTTTCCCAATAAAATCCGAAAATGACCAATTATGGACAGATTATAATTTAATTAATTTTTGAGTATTAAAATGTAATTATGCATGATTTCGGGTTTTAGGGTTTTTGGATTCGAACTCGGGTAGAATGTATTTTTAGGTTTGGTTTGTGGCTCGCCTTTAACCATAAGGCAAGAGCAGGTCTTTTACTTATTTGGTTTAATTATTTTGGTTTGAATGATTTGGATGAGTATGAATGTGATACTTAGATTTGATTGGGACGATTAATTAATTTTCCATATAAGAACTCAGTTCGATTTATTCGGATTGGGTTTAATTAAGGTGTTTAATTAAATATTAATAAATCTGGGCTTTCTAAATACTAAAATATTCATTGGAAATCGTAGGGTAAAAAGAGGTTCGTGACTTTTCCTGGCGTCTTGTTTCCATTATAGTTCCCGGCGTACCCCAATTCCCTTTACGCTCGAATCGCCTTGGTGCAATCCTGACAGTTTTCTAAATAATTGGCCTTAAAAATTAGGTTTAAATGGAGTCATTTTTTTTATTAAATAATAATTGGAAACAGTTCCGCATTGCCGAACATGGGTGTTGCGCACTCAAAAATGTCTTTTGTAAGTACGATTTATCGGCTCCCTACATTCCAAAAAGGTTTTGTCCCCAACTGTCATAATAAATTATACGCATACGTTTCTGCTGCTTTTTTCATTCAAACGTTAATTAAATGCGAACGTCTTCGCATCGCTTCGGTTGGGGCGGTGCGCAAACAGCTTACATGCTAATTTCAGTGACTCATTGTTATAATATCGCTTAAGTCTACCATGTTCAGTTAGACATTTTCCTCCTTTAGATGGCTCAGCCTATATGTATTTACCTGAAATCATTTTAAATGAATACTAAATTTTAAGTAGATAACACTACAATTCACTCTGTCAAACTTAAAAATAAACTACATTTCTTTTTTTGGTTTCTTTTTTTTTTTTTTTTTTTTTTTTTTTTGTTTAGTCTACACATACTGATGTGTCCTATCCAGAGCTACTTCTAATTCATCTAATACTTCTTACTTTTTTCGCAAAGAGGTAAATATACTTCATACTCTCTATTTTGATATCCAAATTATAATTTATACAATAAATATATGCTAAGATTCACTTTTTACCTTAAAATTCTCTTCATTGCTATACTTTCTTATGCACAGGTGTTCCACTTCTTATATCTACTTATTAAGTTCTTTTTTCGTACATCTTCTGATCATAATGATATATATGTGTTATGATCGTCCATCATTACTTCAATTTCATTTCCTGTTAATTTTATTATTGTCATATAGTGAAAGGCTATAATATGAAGATGCAAAGTGAAGTAAGAAGACTTCTCTCTAACAATTGATTTTGCCGAAACAATGGGTGGCGACTCAAAAATGTTTTGTAAGACCGATTTATCGGCATCACATCCAAAAAGGTTTTGTCACCACTGGTCAATAATAAATATCGCTTTTCCATTCAAACGTAAAAAGCGAACGTTCTTCGCATCGCTCGGGGGCGGTGCGAAAACAGTTACATGCTACAGAATGACTCATTTTATAATCGTAGTCTACACAAAACTTCAAGGATTAGACTTTTCTCCTTTATGGTCAGCCTAAGGATTACCTGAAATCATTTAAATAAAATACTAAAAATAAGAGATAAAACATACAATTCACTAACTTAAAATAAACTACAGTTTTAGGCTACACATACTTAGTGTCTTCAAAGCTACCTTTTCAATCACAAATACTTCTACTTTCCAAAGAGGTAAATATACTTCATACTCTCTATTTTGATATATCAAAAAATTTATATACAATAAATATACTAAAATTCACTTTTACCCTAAAATCTCTCATTGCATTACTCTTATGACTAGTTTCACTTCTTAACTACTATTAAGTCTTTTTTCTACCTTCTCTATCATAATATATATGATCGTATTCAATACTTCAATTTACTTTCTGTTAATTTAATTGTCATAATTGAGGCTATAATATGAAAATGCAAAAGTGAAGTAAGAAGACTTCTCTCTAACAATATAGTACAAGAAATAAGAAGTTTCCTTCCATAATGGTCGTGGCAAGTTATATATATAGCACAATAATAGTCATAACTAAGGCTATGTATATGAACTATTTTAGTAATACTAATAGTTTTTAAACAATCATGCACCAAAACAAATCATCAAGCAATCACATGAGCCTCAACTAGATATATGTATTCTTTTTATATATTTCACCTTTATCTATACTATTCATTTACAATCTATCCCACCAGTAATTATTAATTAGCAATTATAAGCATTCATATATATCATTGAACTAGTAACACCAGTTTAACCTAATTGGAAATTAGGTTTTATAAGCTGACATCTCTTCTTTAGCCAAAAGATGATCCAACTTCCACAAGTCTTCTAATGTACTCTTCTAACTACTCAATTCCCTCCTAAATATTATTTATGTGCATGTAATTCAATCGCTCTATAAAAATCATATATTCCCCTACAGTAGAGTTAAAATTGAGTTGACTCCTCTTCTTTTCTATGTAACCACCCAAGCTTGCTACGAAAAAGCTATCTCCTTCAATTGGTTTTCCCTTTTTTAAAGCTTACTTTGGTTGATTTATAGTAGTTAGAAGATTAAGTTTTAAGTGGTTCATGCTTTTCAATAAGGTTAGTATGCTTCAATAAGTCTTTGGTTTCTATGGAAAAGGTAAGAAACTTCAAAAAATCATTGATAATAAGAAACTACTTCTTTTGGTGTGTGTGTATGCGTGTGCGTGTACGCGTGTGCTATGGCATGGAGAAGGCATGGACTACCTTGGAGAAGAAGAAGAAGAAAATGATTTTTATATCACAAATTTGATTAGCATTACTTCAAATCGATGATAACAAGAAACCATCTCTGTGTACATGTGAATACGCGTGCGTGCGTGTGCATGCTATGGCTTGGACTACCTGTAGGAGGAGGAGAAGAAGATGAAGAAGAAGAAAAAGATTTTTATATCACAAATTTGATTAGCTTTCCTTTATATGGTTTGCCCTTAACTATTCTTTCATCTTTTTTGCATATAAATCCAAATCTAATAACCCACGGCACCACATATTATTCACTATTCATATTTGTATAAGTAACGAACAAAAATCTCATTTTCTTTATACTTAAGGCCATATTCAAAGTACAGTACGTCTTATTTTCCTAACTTTTAAATTAAATATTTTTAACTTCCAATTTTAAACTTAATTGAAGAATATATTTAAAGATACTACGATTATATTATCGTGTATCAAATTGTATGTGTAGTATAATACCATATTAATTTTATAACAATGAAATCATATTTATCTTTTTTTCGTTAAAAGAAAATTTTCTTATTTATGAAATTAATTTATATAATTATGGTGAATAAAATATAAAATTTGACAAATAATAAATCGTTTTCTTCTCTGCAACTGGTGTTTTTTCCATAGTTTTTTTTTATTTCACTTATCTATCACTTTAAACAATCAAGAAAATTTTAATTATTTTTTTCTATATTTACTCTAATTTTCTAGTCACTAAATAAGCATTTGATATTTAGAAAATTAATAAAAGATTAATTTAACGAATTACTTTTTTTCTCTAAGATTGAAGTGATTTAATATTTTTAAAAAAATTTTTGTATAAATTGAAAAAGTATCAATTTTAACATATGGAGGGAGTAATTTGTAAATGCAAATGTTTGGATTGATACCTTCAAAAAACACTACGTTGGAATTGACATTGAAATCTTATTTAAAACAAAATGAAAAATTTACCATTTTTAGAACTTCTACGTATAGAACACCTTAAATTACTTAAAAACAACATTTAATTGCACATGTTAAAATATTTTAAACATTTTCTATATAATTTTTCTTAACAGCACAACTGACACAATGGCGAAGATATTCATATACAGTCAGCAATGAGACTTCCCAAATAAGATGAGAATGAACATGTACGGCCTGTTTCATAATTTCAATTATTCTAATGGCTTTTAATTGTTTTAATAGTTCTAATAGCTTTTAATTATTTTAATAATTATTAGCTATTAAATGTTTAAACAGTAATTGAAAACGATAATATTCTAATAGCTTTTAATTATTTAAATAATTGTTAGTTATTAACTGTTTAAATAGTAATTAAAAGTGAAAACATTCGATAAAAATAATTGTTTGATTGACGATAAATTTAAAATGAAAAAAAAGACATTAAAATATTCACTTAGAATTTTTAATTAAATTCATTATAAAAAAAATGATTTCATTGCACCTAAATTTTCCAAAATTAAGAGAAAAATTGAAAAATTCACTATTTTATAAATTAAATGAACAATTTTTAACATTTTAGGGGATCAACATTTTTAATTTTTTATATTTGTTTTGAATTTAAATACAAATATATAAATAATGTTTTTTTTCTTTTACTATCAAATATAAATAAACCAACATAAAGATAATAGAATAGGTAATGTGATAACAAAAAAGATTTTATATTAGTTAAGGATAAGAATAATAGAGTGAAACACTAAAAAGTTAGATAACGTTTCATAGACCTCTAAAAGCTACTTCATATATCAAAGTTACCAAACACAATAATTTAAAGAATTAGTTCAAAACATTATACCAATCCTAATCAAATTACTGAACATAATAATTTAAAGAAATGGTATCAATCCTAATCAAATTACTGAACATAATAATTTAAAGAAATGGTATTTTTATTAGTTCAAAACACTAAACACTATCCTAAACACCACTGCCAAACACACCCGTAATAATAATCCCTTAACAGGGCAAAGGCAGCCAAATCTAGGACATTAAATAGGCTAAGTAGCTCTATTTTATATAACCATAAATTCCCAAAACGCAAGCTGAGCCAAAAAATCCCACTGTTAGAAGAAACATATTTTTGATTATTGATTCTTGACCATGGCTGATTCCAACAACAAAAATATCAAATATTAGGACAATTGCGAAATTTCAAAAAATTTAGCAAGTGATATTGGAAATGAGCAAGCAATCTCGCAGCGACAATAATCCTGTTCTTTTAGAGAGAATGTGCACCACTTACTCAAATGTTAAAAGATCGCCAGTTAAACTACACAGCTTCCAGCAGTGTCACATTTATACAGAATTGGTCAAGAACAATCAAATTGCATTAAGCCACTCCTGGAGTGAAACAAATACATTGACACACTGTCGAATTGCAGTTTCTCCGGCTTCTGAGAAGTAAACAAGCAGTTATAGTTCTTTCCATTTAATTCAGCAGAAGCAGAACCAATAGCGACTCCACAAAGTACTATAACCCCAAGAATGTGTTAAAACAAATGAAAGCTATAATATTTCAACATTCCAACTGACGGGTGCCGTTTGACAAGAAGAAACGAGTATATACCATTTTTGAGGTCCTTCAACTGTTGCAACCTGAGATGAGGTCTTCCAATTCATCGATGATAGCTTTATAGCAGAAAAAATATTGATCCTAACAGACAGTGAATTAGCAAAATCAACTGCGTAACTTAGGAAGAGGTAAATACAGAATGTATGCAATGGTACTTCAAAATGCATGAATATCTTTATACCAGAAAAAAAACATGCAATAAATAATAGCCTTGAGATATTTACAGAAAGCAATCTCTCTCTCTCTCTCTCTCTCTCTCTCTCTCTCTCATTAAAAAGAGCTCAAGAAAGTTATTTGATTAAATTTGTTAAAAGCATTTATCAACAAACCCAGAGGTTCCAGATAAAAAATCCTAGAAGAATCTTTTCATTTTTTTTCCTTTCTAGGGCTGACATGATTACTAGGTACTTATCCAGGAAATTTGTCAATGATGTATTTAACAACAAAATCATACTTCCGTTGTGAATTTCAAGCTATTAGGAATTGGGAACCATGGCATGTCGGTAGGTCAGCAAATTGAAGTTGCTTTCCAGAAGTTTTAGAAGTTTCAATAAATGAATTAAAGAAAAATGAAGGCTGAGAAAAGATATAAAAGTACCATGGTTTGAACCATCCCCACTCGTTGGGACCTAAATGTGGCTACGGTATTAGCAATATCTAAAGCAGACATGTCTCCAACAAGGATTCTCTGGATTGTATTGTGAATTGTGCAGTATGTTCCAGTTCTACCTATACCTGCACTGAACAAGAGAGAGATTGTCTCAGATATACATGTGGATCAGGAATTTTACGTGGCAGCATAAGAAACTACAAGCATTAGGCACACCTGCAGTGGACTACTACTGGGCCAAGATTCGGTGGTACTTGGAAAACTCTTTTCAAGATTTCACGCACCGCAACTGTGTCTTTTGGAACTCCATGATCAGGCCATTCAGGGTACTGAATATGCAAAACAGACATGGGTAGCTCCTCGGACTGCAACCAAAATGACAGAGGAAGAAGAACTAACAAGTAAATATTTGGATTCACAAAGAAAATAAGCTTATCAGCTACTTCAAAGTGAAAAGAACATGCTTGTCAAAACCTTCATTGGAATTACAAAACTCAAACATCCAGGCGAAAATGCTAAGCTTTAAAATGAGCAAGGGAAAAGAAGCCGGCGAATTAAGGGCACGAGATAATTAGTGGTGCTACCAGTGAATAACGGTTGGTTCAAGTTCACATATTCATTCACATCAACATAACAGCAGTTGGAAAGCAGAGGTCTAATTGCTTAGCGCAAACCAATACATAACAGATGAAGCAGATATGTACTAACAATATCTGAAGTTCAAACATGCGCATGATTTGGACTAGGGCAGGTAACAGCTATTGTAAATACAAGAAAGTTTTGTCAATCTCAAGATTGCATGGCACGCTGGTTGAAATGAATCTACCACGACGATTAGTGTTTCTACATTGAGTTGTGTTATTTTTTCTTTCCATATATATGCATTTCAAGGCTTTATGTTATCATGAAGATAAAATATCATAGAATAAAAAAAAATTTAAAACCAAAAACATATATATATATATATATATATATAAGAATAAAAAAAAATTAAAACCAAAAAACAATATATATAATTATATATATAATATATATATATATATAATTTAGAGGCAAAAGAAAAGGAATAGTAGCAAACAAAGCAAAACGGTGCTTTACATTTGGTAAAATAATTTACATTTCATCCTCTCCAATTTTATATATAATTTAGAGGCAAAAGAAAAGGAATAGTACAAAACAAAGCAGAACGGTGCTTACTTTGTAAATAATTTACATTTTCATCTCCATTTTTCATCTTTTTACCAATTCACTTTTTCTTTTACCAACTGAAATAAGAGAAATTTTTTCCTAAGATTCAAAATTAATCACAGGCTATAGAAAAACAATTGCCTATTTTTCCGAACTTGGAAAGAAAATTAGAACATTTTCAAGATTGTGTTCCGCCAATAAAGCAAAAATATTATCACCAGTACACAGCCTGCTTTTCATCTTGTAAAGCTCCAAAGAAGTTCAAGCATAAGAAAACAATAGTTAATATCTTCCAAAATCAAAGACCCAAGATAGAAAAGGGAATCCTCAAAATGATCTAGTGTTTGTTTGGATGAGCAGTTAAGAGACATCAAATGTTGATTAGGATCCCAGCTCCTTTTTTTCTATTTGGTAAACACAGAAGTCAAGAGAAACATTTCAAAATCCTGTTGTTAGCCATTTGATTCATATTTAACCATTAGCTGTCAATTTTCAACATCTAACTACAACCTTTGATCCAAAGACACTTAAGGGAATTCCAATTTACAAAAACCTCTGCTATTTTAATCCCTCTCATTAAGCGCCATAACTCAACTCCATCGAGTTAAAAAAGTGGACCTTGTCATAAAGATAGGCATCTAGCAATTGGAAATCCTCTTCCCCAATCCAAGTATAACCAAATTGTGGATGACCCACCCATCTCATGAGGAACTTTTGATAACCAACCCCTCTAGTAGAAATCACTTGATGATCAACAATCTTTTCAATTTGGTCCTTTACACGTGTTTGTGAAGAGAGTTCGAGACATAACCTCATGATGATTATGTTTATCATCGCCGTGTCATGGTACAAAGTAATATCTTTAATATTGAAGATATTACTTTATTCAAATGTGCCAAGTAACTCAAGAACACAAGCATTTAAACTAATTCTGTTCAAATCCTGTAAGGACCAACATTCCTTGAATCAGCTTCTTGTAAGCCCCTAGGAAACAATCCAGATTTAATTCCAACCATGACCATATCGCCTTCTTGAAATTAAGCAAATCTGCATTTTAGATAAGCAACGGCCTTATAAGCTTCTTTACTTATGGCAATCTGTCTTTGAACTTCCTTTAAGCATAATATCAACAATATGCTTCCCATAAGCATTAGCGTCAATTTTGGATCAGTCTCATTAGGCATTAGGCAAAGGAACCAAATCAATTGGTTTCTTAGGAAGTACACCTTAATAAAAAAATGAACTACATCCAGCAATATGATTCAGAGAGCTATTGTAGGCAAGTTCGGCCATGGAAGAATATAATCCCAATTCCTAACATGATCACCAACAAAACACCAAACGAGATTTACCAAATCCCGATTAATGGCTTTCAGTTGTCTATCAGTTTATGAACGAAAAGGTGAAGGAAATTTTAGCTTTGTATTCAATGGTTGTCATTGAGATTGCCAAAAATAACTCATAAACTTTGAGTTACGATCTGAAACAATTGATGTAGGCAATCCATGAAGTTGTACATAAAAAGAAATATTTAGCAATATGGTATAAAGTGAGCCATTTTTAGAAACATGGTATAAAGTGAGCCATTTTTGAATAAACATCCGCCGCCACAAAGATAGAATCATGACCTCTCACGGTCTTCGCTAGCCCAAGCACAAAATCCATGCTTAAAATCCCTCCAAGGCTCAAGCAAAATTGGCAATCAAGTGAGTATACAGCCCGCTATTTTCCTTTCTACCCTTGTATATTAGACAAACTCAAATCAAGCAACAAACTAGCAGCATCCTTTTTAAGCTTGGCCAATAAAACTGATTCTCGACCATTGCAATCTCTCCAAAATGGCGTACTATCATCCCGAAAGCAATGTTCTTGAATCAACTCCTCACATAGAGAAGTATTAGGGAAGCACAAACAAGTTCCCTTGAGAAGATACCCCGCACAACAAAGAAAAATTAGAATTAGCAGCATGTTGTCCATACGATAAATCAGCATAAATAATACTGAAAGCTCTGCAGGTTTGATAATCTTTCTCAAGATTGCAAAACTAACAAGTTGGACAACCATAGAAGTAAGAATTAGCACTAGTCCACTCAATGCATCGGTTATCCTATTCCCAATTCCAGCTTTATTGTGATTACAGAGAATATCTTGCAAGAAAGCAATCCAATTTGTACGACGACACCAATATATTTTGGAAATTGATATATTTAAGAGCCTTGTAGTCAGGGGCAAAGCTAGATTCCAATAGCAGGAGGGCCAAAAAAAAATTTTCAAAAGTTAGACAGAGGCTAAATCGGAAAAAAATTGCACTATTTTGTGAATAATTTTAAAAAGGTCAATTATATTTGTGGGATTTTTTTATAAACATTTGCAATTTTAAGAATCTGAACTATTAAAAAACTTGCAAGCGTCTCTTGCTGAAGTGGCTCATCCAAATGCTTATTTAGATGAAATGGAGCCCACTTTTTGCCATGTCAGCAACTTACATGGACTGAGAGAAGCTTGTATCAGCTTTGCACATCACCCGCATATGCAAAATGCTAGAGAAGGCAATCACGTCCTCAATAACAACTATGATGAACAAAATTATGGGAAGTGTAGATTTAATGAGGGAAAATATTTTTTCTGTATTTGATTCATCAATAGGGACACATATATATACACATACAAGATACTATAAACCTATTAGGAATCTAACTCCTAATACACATACAAGATACTATAAAACCTATTAGGAATCTAACTCCTAATAGAGTCTATTTAACACACTAATCCTTTAACACTCCCCTCAAAGTTTGGAGCATAGATATTAATCATGCCTAACTTGGTTACAAAAGATAGTCCAACCCGGGGTCCGTTTAGAGCTTTTGTAAAGATATCCGCGCCCTAAACTGTTCACTGTTTAACGTGTCTTGTAGAATAACACCCTGTTGTATCTTTTCACGAATGAAATGAGCAAAAGCATCACATACGTCTGTTTTTGTTCGTCTACATCACAACAGGAATACACTGACAGACCACTTTGATGGCAATGTGAAAGAGCAGCTTGATTATCACAACCATAAATTTGCAAGCAAGGATGACTTGAAGCCAATTTCCTCTAACAAACTGACGAATCCCAAATTAAACATTCACAAGCCAGATTGTGCCATAAGCTCGATATTCTGATTCAGCACTCGATCGTAGAGACACATTTTGTTCTTGCTCCTCAATGATATCAGTTTCCACCTACAAAGACACATATCCTGAGTTGATTATCAACCTTCGAACCTGCCCAATCCGCATTTGAAAAACACTCAATGTCCAAATGCCCATGATTACTGTAAAGCAGGCCACGACCTAGATTACCTTTCAACCTTTCCAATGGATAACAGTAGGAGACGACATAAATTGGCTTAAGAAGCTCACAGAGTAAGCAATATCTGGTCGTGTTACTGTAAGATAATTCAATTTGCCCACTAATCTTCTATATATCTTAGGATCATCAAATAGCTCACCATCAATGGAAAGTTGCAAATTAGGAGTCATTGGAGCACTGCATGGCTTGGCACCCAACTTTCTAGTTTCCTTCAGTAAGTCAAGGACATACTTCCTTTGAGGTAATTCCCTTCAGTAAGTCAAGGACATACTTCCTTTGAGATAAGAAAGATGCTCTCATTAACCTAAGATACTTCAAATAACCCAAAAAAATACTTCAACAATCCCTAATCTTTTTGTCCTGGAGCCAAATTGGTGTACCACATTGCAAAATCAACGAAACCAAGCTCGAGGACTTTGTTTTAGGCCATAAAGAGATTTTTGAAGTTTACACACTTTACCCGACTCCCCCCTGAGCAACAAAGCCTGGTGGTTGCTCCATGTAAACTTCCTCCATGCCAAATTGGTGTACCACATTGCAAAATCAACGAAACCAAGCTCGAGGACTTTGTTTTAGGCCATAATGAGATTTTTGAAGTTTACACACTTTACCCGACTCCCCCCTGAGCAACAACGCCTGGTGGTTGCTCCATGTAAACTTCCTCCTGAAGATCCCCATGAAGAAAGGCGTTCTTAACATCTAGCTGATGTAAAGGCCAGTCAAAAGTAACTGCTAAAGAAATAAACAAACGAACAGAAGACAATTTGGCTACAAGAGAAAAAGTATCAGAGTAATCAAGGCCATAAATCTGAGGAATAG